CAACTTTGATCCTTACTGAGCCCATTTGCCTTTTTGCCTCTAAGATAACATACCCTTGAAATGTCTGGGTAACTTGTAACTTCCCTTTTTTCTGGAGCCCCTGGGGCACAACCAAATGTTCTGGGCGCCAGGACAGATACTACAAATTCCTTCATTATCATGTTAATTGATCCTGCACCCACCTAAGTATGTGTCCATCATTTTACTTTTTATCCTATCACAGAGGTTTCCCCGCTTCGCTTAATCCCACCTCCTTAAATCTGTCACCAATGAATTTCATGTATAAATACGGATGTAACCCTGCCATTCTCCGGAGCACTATCTCAATTCGTTGAGGTTCTGCTTCCCGGCATATGTCGACAGTTTGGCTCAAATAAACTCACAAAAATTCTTTACAGGTTTCAATGGTTTTTTACGTTAACACTAGTAACAGCAGATCCTGGTGCACAGCTTGGTCCTTTCCACACTCACCTAGCCCCAGCAGAGGGAGCCACAAGCTAATAGCTCCAAACTGGTTACCCACAGCCATTCTGAGACAATGTCTGACATTGGCCTGCACCAGTCCCTTCAAAGAGGCCCAGAACCGATAAACCCAGTGGCAAGCTTCAGACCAAAGCAGCATATCCCAGGGAGATCTCGGCAGGCATCAAACCCTGCCGAGGTGAATTTGCTTCATGTGATCAGCACCTGCACAATAGCTTGCACACTGTGTTGGGGGCTAAGCCCCTCTGTCAGCCAGCCTGAGGGTTGATCCAATGCACAAACAGGCCAATAGCAATCAAGACTCAATTACAATAGGAGGGCCCACATAACATACAAAAAAGACATTCTTAGAGCACCCAGCTCAGGTGATCAGGGAGATTGTGCCACTGGGTTGCATAGGTCACCTATTACATAAGGCCATTCTACCAAGACTGGGAGTCATAGCAGATCCACCTAGTTCATAGAAACAGTCAGCCAAAATGGGGAGATGAAAGAAATAGTCCCCAAATTAACGAACAAGGAATTCTCCAGTAGAGCTAAATGAAATGGAGGTAAGGTATTTATGAGATATAGACTTCAGAATGATTATAAGGATGCTCAAAAGTATGAAAAAGGACATAGAAACCACAAAAATGGACCAGTGAGAAATGAAGAATGCAGTATCTGAAATAAAGAATACACTGGAAGGAATAAACTGTAGGCTTGATGAAGCAGAGGATGAATTCAGCAATTTGGAAGACAAGGTAGAACCAAAAGTACCTAATCAGAGCAGCAAAAATAAAAAAGAATTAAAAAGAATGAGGTTATTTTAAAGACCTTTGGGACAACATGAAACGAATAACATCCATGTCATAGGTGTATCAGAAGAAGCAGCAAGGGATAAAGAACCTATTAGAATAATGAAAACTTTCATAACCTGGTGAAAAAAGAGATATACAAGTCCAGGAAATGCAGAGTCCCAAGCAAGATGGACCCGAAGATGCCCACACCAAGATACATCATAATTAAAGGCCAAAAGTAAAAGACAAGAAGAAAATTTAAAAGCTGAAAGAGAAAGGAAGTCAGTTACCTACAAGGGAACTCCCATAACACTGTCAGCTGATTTTTCAATAGAAATGTTTCAGGCCAGAAGGGATTGGCATAAAATATTCAAAATGATGAATAGCAAGAGCCTAAAACCAAGGCTACTTTACCCAGCAAAAGTATCATTTAAAATTGAAGAAATGGAAGAAAGAGGAAAAAGAAAAAAAAAGGAGGAGGAGAAAGAGAAGAAAGTTTAAAAAATAAAATGGCAGCCGAAACCGGTTTGGCTCGTGGATAGAGCATCGGCCTGCGGACTGAAAGGTCCCAGGTTCGATTCCGGTCAAGGGCATGCCTGGGTTGCGCGGGCACATCCCCAGTGGGAGATGTGCAGGAGGCAGCTAATCGATGTTTCTCTCTCATCGATGTTTCTAACTCTCTATCTCTCTCCCTTCCTCTCTGTAAAAAATCAATAAAATATATTTAAAAATAAAATAAAATAAAAATAAAATGGCAATAAATACAATACTCATTTTAAATGTAAATGGCTTAAAGGCTCCAATAAAAAGACATAAGGCAGCTGAATGGATAAGAAAACAAAACCCATGTGTATACTGTCTTTAAGAGACCCACCTCAGAATGAGATACACAGACTAAAGGTAAAGGGATGGGAAAGATATTTCATGAAAATATAAAGGAAATAAAAGCTGAAGTACTAATTCTTTTTAAAAATATGTATTTTTTTATTTCAGAGAGGAAGAGGAAAGGAGAGACTACAATGATGAGAACCATTGATCGGCTGCCTCCATGCCCTCTGCTGGGGACCTAGCCCACAACTCAGGCATGTGCCCTGACTAGGAATGGAACCTTGACCTCTTGGTTCATACGTCAATGCTCAATCACTAAGCCACACCAGCCAGGCTAAAATTAATCAGATCTATTTTTCAATCTTTAGGTAAAAGTAACCAATCAACTTATCCTTCCCACAATATTGAATTTCTTTATTATCACTTTACTGTTTTAAAACTGGCAACTTTATTTTAGAACTAGAGGCCCGGTGCACAACAATTCGTGCTCTGGGGTAGGGGGGGTGGTCCCTCAGCCTGGCCTGCCCCCTCACAGTCTGAGAGCCCTCACGGTATGTCCTACTGATGGCTGAATGTCCTACTGATGCTCCCATGGGGAGTAGGCCTAAGCCGCAGTCTGGCCGCCCTCTGTGGAAGGCAACAGGGCCGATCAGGGGAAGGTGCCGCCCCACCACCCTGCCGCTGCTGCTGCCTCTGGCTTCCCTCTGCGGGAGGCGACTGGGCCCATCAGGGGAAGACGCTGCGCTGCTCCCATCACCCTGCTGCTGCTGCTGCTGCCTCTGGCCTACCTCTGCGGGAGGTGACTGGGCCCATGAGAGGAAGGCTGCCACTACCAGCCACCACGGCTGCTGGCCCTTGGCCCTCAAAGCCTCCCAGGCGATCTGGGGCCAGGGCTGTGGGGGGTTGAGGCACAGCAGGTTGCACCCCTGCTATGGGTGCAGCCTCTGTGGAAGGGGCAGCACTGGGACAAGGGCCGTGCAGCCCCTCTGCGAAAGGGGCCACTGCCTCTCCCGCGCCACCTCTGCGAAAGGGGCCTGGTGCTGGACTGGCCCGTGCCGAGGCCTCTCCTGTGCCACCTCTGCAAAAGGGGCTGCGGGGCTGGACCGGCAGGTGCCACCTCTGTGAGAGGGGCCACAGAGCTGGACCAGCCCGCGCCGCCACCTCTCCCACGCCGCCAGCTCCCAGCCCTAGCAGCTGCTGCAGCTTTGTCCAGAAGGACATCCGGAAGATGTCCCATCTATCTGGTCTAATTAGCATATTGCCCTTTTATTAGTATAGATACCATCTCCTATAAGACATTTATGTTTTTTTGTTTGTTTGGGTAGGAGAACCCATCAAAGTGGATACTCCATAACTCTTTAGTTAAAAAATTGGCTCAAGTCATATTTTTAGCCCAGAACTTTTTTGGTTGTACTTTCATAGAAAATAATGTCAAACATTAGTTTTGTGAGTGTGAAAGTGCCTTCTACCTTTTGAATATGATTTTTAGTACTATCTTAATATTTATAAAGAATGTAGAATATACCTTTAAATTTGACTCTCTCAGAATAGAGATATGCTTTAAAGCTTTAATTTGCTCAATATTGGCTCAGAAATTTCAAAGGGATTTTCCTTAACATTAATTTAACTTTTTTTTTGTAGCTATAAACTCATCATTTTAACATCTGGCTTTTCTGTTATTCTATTTCTGAATAATAATAAAACACGATACTATTTCATTTGGATGATATTGATATAGACACACTTAACCGAGAAATTTTCAAATCCACCTGCCACCAACCATGAACCCCCAAAAAGCATAGGCATTTTTTGACTATCACTTGCAATATACTAAAACATTCAATAACTGTTATTTGCTCATTACATAAAAAATTTTTAACAAAATTTTATTCAAAGTATTTTGAAAATCATATTCAAAGCACAAATTAGACCATAATAACAATGCTGCATAGATAGTGGTATACAAGTTCCCTGATGCTTAGTGACTTCCTCCTAACTAAAACTACACTTTGCAAGTCACCAGATAAAAAATGGTAGGGGCATTATTCCGTCTCTCTGAGGTTGGAAAAATGGCTTTGATGGTGAGAAGTGACACCATTTAAACATCAAAGATTAGATTATACCCCAACTTAACTATATTCCCTTTTGGTTATTTCCCAGAGATAAAACTTTAGAATGTAAGGATTACTAGAAGGAAATAGAAGATAAATGACCTCTTGGAAGATATCCTGACCAGTGCTTGCTTTAATGAGACAAAACACTGAAAAAAGCTTTAAAGATTACAACCTCACCATTATTCTTAAGTAAAATTGTTAATATAAATATATTTTTACATAATATCTTACAAGAAAAAATGTTTCCAATCCTTTCACCTTCAGTAAAAAAAAAATGTTATCACTAATGGAGATTTGAAAAATAATTTTCATAGTGGAACTTTATAGAGATTGAAATAATTTCTAGAAAATTGCAAATAGTCTAAATCAATAAGAAACTGCTAAATTTATAAGATTACTTTTTGAAAAGGAAGACAACTTATCTGGAAGAAATTTATAGCTGAAAACGTTGTTCATTAAAAAGCATGGTTACCCTGAAAAGACTCTTAAAATTGCCAGTACTTTCATAGGCCCCCAACAATTCACAAAGGAGCAACTTTTAGGCTCTAGAGCAGCCGTAGGCAAACTACGGCCCGCTTGAAATGAATAAAACTAAAAAAAAAAAAAAAAGACCGTACCCTTTTATGTAATGATGTTTACTTTGAATTTATATTAGTTCACACACACACTCCATCCATGCTTTTGTTCTGGCCCTCCGGTCCAGTTTAAGAACCCATTGTGGCCCTCGAGTCAAAAAGTTTGCCCACCCCTGCTCTAGAGTCTAGCCTCTTAGTTACCTACATAATTTTTTTTTTTAATCTAAACAGTAATTTGTGCTAGATCACAACCAAGGCATCTGAATGTAATGGCCAAAAGCAAATTTTGCATGCATTTCAGGTAGACTTCTTTTTTCTTTCCTAAGAAAGAGTTTGTAATTTTTCAAATGGTCTTGGACACAAACCTACTGTTCACAAAAAAAATCTTTTGTATGCAAACTCTGTTTCCTTATAATAGTAAACATCCTGGTCTATGCCTAGAAAATAAGGCATGAGTAATTAATTCTTCATTAATTCTTCACTGCAGAGCATAGACAAGTGTTTTCTTTCTAATGCAAACATCTCAAAGTGCACTGTTATTTTTACATCTCATGCATTTACAGTCAGAATTTTCTGAATCTCTACATACTTTTAGTATAAAAGAATGTTTATTCCCAACTACTTACATACCATAATTACTTGAAAAAAAGACAAAGTGAGAGCAGCTACAGAAGTAACAGGATATTTTTCACAAATAAGAATATAATGTACAAAAACTGGCAAACTAGTGATAACTTGTAGTATGAACTCTTATAATAATATTCTCCTTTGGTTTTCAAACTAAGATTTGACAAGTTTAAAGCCCTGTCCTGTGTCCAGCACAGTAGGAAGAAACCAACTCATTTTTAATCTTTTCAAGCACCTAAAACAACTTTGGCAGATCCATAAAAGGTTCAGACCACACAACCAATTTGCCAAATGTACTAGTGGATATGTAATACGAGGAAAGTGCAACATCCAGTGCTTGGCCACGTCACTTCCCGTTGGCAAATGCAGAGTGTAGTCGCTCCACTGCTTCGACACACCATATACTGCTTTCACTTTGCGTCCCTTTTCAGTCCAGCAGATGCTATTATTGGAGTTGCAGTTATATTCTACCCAGTCTTTTGTAAAGTCACCCAGCTGTGGTGGGTCGGCTTCTTCAATATCTATTGTCTTCATCAACTCTGCTCCTTGCACTGCAATATACTGGTCACTTATTTTTCTTACTTCTTTCACCCAAGGGGTTGAATTCTCACTGTCTAATATAATAATAAGTCGAGAACAGAAGGAACCATTCTTTTCTCTCCACCATTCTAAAAGTGTGTCCAGGCGTAGTATGTCTCCACCTATAAACAAAAGAAAATTCAATGAGTAATTTCTGAATACTCTCAATAAGAATACCCTTCTGTCCTAAGTGTATTTTCTTTAAATTTTGGAAATTAAATATGTGAGTAGAAAAACAGAGCCTTCCTTTCAAAGTATTTCCTCAGAAGATTTTTTTTAAAAAAACTTTCAACTTCAGGTTAAAAAAACGACAACCGAAAAAAAAATCATCCTTGTTACATAAAAAAATGGGATATGTTAATTTTGTTAACCAATGTCAACCCAATATATTCAATTAAAAAATTTGTTTAAATGGGATATACTATAATAAATTTAAAAAATTATTTCTCTGGCCAGTTTGAGCATCGGCCTGCAGACCCAAGGGTCTCGGGTTTGATTCCCAAAGGCACATACCTCAGTTGCAGGCTCGATACCCGGCCCCAGTTGGGACCTGATGGAAGGCAATCAATCGATGTCTCTCTCTCACATCCATGTTTCTCTCTCTCTCTCTGTTCCCCTCCTTCCTCCCCTCTATTATCTCTTAAAAAAAAAAAAATCAATGGAAAAATATATCCCTGGGTGAGAATAAATGCAATCTTACTTTAAAAAATTATTTTATAAAGTTAAATTTGTTGAAAAAATTAAAGGAAAGCTTATATTCTTCTACATCAAAAACAGCAAATATGGCTCGTGGTCCAAATCTTGCCCATTACCTGTCCTGGTATAGCTGAGAGCTGAGGATTGATTTTACATGGTTGAAAAAAATAAAAAACAAACAGTATTTTGTGACATGGGAAAATTATATGAAATTTACATTTCATATAATTGTTTCCGTAAATAAACTCATTTGCATTCTGTCTATGGCTGCTTTTTTTTTCCTTTTTAATCTTCATTTGAGGATATTTTCAACTACAGCAGCAGAGCTGAGTGGTTCCAACAACACAGATCTTATGGCCCACAAAGCCAAAAATATGTGGCCCTTTACACAAAAAATTTGCCAATCCTGTTGTGCACCACTGATAAAATAATGTTACCTATCCTCGTACGCAGGTACCTACTAGAGGAAGGAGAAACTCTTCCTCCCTGTACCAAGAATGAATTTAGAATGAATTTATTTTTAAATCAGTTTTATACATGAAAAACAATAAATGATTAAAAATAGTTTACTCAGAAAGCTCTAAAGTAAATAAATCTGACCTACAAACCTATCTTATAGTTAGTAGGCTTTCCATCTGGTTCATTGTGGATAGTTTCTTTTGCATTAACTTTAATTTTTTTTTTTGATTTTTTTAAAATATATTTTATTGACTTTTTACAGAGAGGAAGGGAGAGAGAGAGTTAGAATCGATGAGAAGAGAGAAACATTGATCAGCTGCCTCCTGCACACCTCCTACTGTGGATGTGCCCGCAACCCAGGTACATGCCCCCGACCGGAATCGAACCCGGGACCCTTTAGTCCGCAGGCCGACGCTCTATCCACTGAGCCAAACCGGTTTTGGCTTAACTTTGATTTTTAAATGTTACATTAAAATATTATTTTGATTATTTGGTTTCTGGCACCCTCTTAAATTTCATGGCCAAGACAATTGCCATCTTTACCTCTCCCTAGTCCTGGCTCTGTCTCAACTGTACACTGATACAATCATCTAATTCTAGATATTTATCCTAAGGAAAGAGTAGATATTGGGCAAAAAATTACATATAATGATTTCCTTCCCTTTGCTATCTAAAATAGTGTAAAATATGAAACAACCAGGGGAATGGAAATAAATTATGGTAAAACCTAATGAGGGAAAGGGAACTTTATAGTAAAATGGTATTTATTAAGAAATTTTAATAACGAGAAAATTATCTGTGCAATTAGGATAAAAAGTATGACACAGAAGTGTATCTATAAAAATAACAGCAGAGGTTATTGCTGGGTGTTTGGATTTCAGGTGGTTTTGCTATATTTTTTTATATTTTCCAATTATTTTTTACATTGTGTATGTTACTTTTATAATTAGAAAAATGTTTTAACATGCTACAATACACTTTTAGTTGTAAATTCTCACCTGAGGATATTTTTTCCATTGCTTTTTCAGAAAGAGTGAAAGGAAGGGAAGGAGAGAGAGAGAGAAATATCAATGTGAGAGATACATCAACTGGTTGCCTCCTGCATGCACCCTGATAGGGGGTGGGATATGAACCGACAGCCCAAATACATGCCCTTGACGGGAAATCAAACCCAAGACCCTTTGGTGTGTGGGGGCCAGTGCCCTAACCACTGAACCACACTTCCATAGGGCATACATACTTCCTGAAGATATATATTTTTAAAATGGTGAAATGCTAACTTTTCATTACTGCCAATTCTATTACATTTCTCTAGAGATCAGAGGATAACATAGATTTCGGGAGCTATTATACAAATTCCATCTGCCACAAAACATCACTAATTTGCCTTTTACAACTATTTCAATAACTATTCTTCAGCACATTCTACACTAAGTCTCTTATATATAAGCTCTTTAAATATCAACAAGAGACCTAACGCAGCATTAAAATCTTTTAAACGATGTCTGTCTCTTCTGTTTTGGTTTGCTCTGCTTTCTTCTATGAATTGGAGAAAATTCATTTGGCTTTTGGCCCAGATACAAAGTACTTAACATTTATCTTAGATAACAGCCATCTCATGCAGTTCAAGTAATTGAGAGTGCATTATAAAGGCTTTGTTTGTCTGTGATAAACTACTTTACAGATTATCTACATATTTTTCATTTACAAAGTAGGTAAAAGTAGGTTACAGTTGTTCCTATGGGAAATAATATGATAATAATAATACAAGAATAAACTCTGTGTTTCGAGTACTTACAACTGCAAACCTACTTTTGCCAAACCCAGTATTTCTGTCTCATCACAGCCATCGTTGTTTTGTACCCTCAAGCCACAAAGCAAAAATACCAGGTTCCGTATTAGGAAACCCCATACATGTAAGAGGACTACATATTCTAAGAAATACTGCGAGTAAAGGCATGGGATAAAGGGCAAATACAGATTCTCTTTCTCACAGTGATATTTAGTTCTGGACCTGCTCTTAACATGTTAACGCAAGTAAAGTTATGATGTTTCTATTTTAAAGATTTTTAGACAGTAACAATTACAAAGTTCTCAGAGCTTGGAGCTCGTTGTCACTGGTTTAGATTGGATTACAGCATCTTCTTCAGAGCAGTTTTCAATACTATCTCTGAGGCAGAATCAGCCTTTGAGGGCTGTCTGGGGCAGGCTGGGGCAGGCTGGGGCAGGCTGGGGCAGGCTGGGGCAGGAACCGACTGAAAAGAGGCCTCAGCCTCTGGGCCTGGTTCAGCCTGGTTACCAGCAAGGGGGCCAGATGCCTCAGGCCTTGCGAGTACACAGTTGCTGAATTATGAGGAGGACTGCTATGTCTCTCCATTGTTTTTTGTTTTGTTTTTTTACTTTTTATAATAAAGTCTCTGACATAGAGAGTTACACATTCTGTCTATGGCTGCTTTTCTTATTTGGAACAAATCGTGGCTTATAGATGCATTCCACAATTGTCAACTTATTGGTGACATACTTGAAAAAAATATAAAGATAATATTCCAGAATGCTACTTCTAGACATTTACTTATTATAAACTCCTATTTTAGCATTTTTAACTCTTCAAATTATTCCTGATAGTGAATAAAAATTTAACAAGATAACGCGCGCGCGCACACACACACACACACACACACACACACAATATTTATCTTGGTGTCTATTTACTTTTCCAAGGAAAAGAAAATGCTGATTTAAATACTAGTAAACTGAAAATCTAAAATTTATTTCCAAAGCAATCTTTTAAAAAATACTTGAAATAAACTTTAAGATTAAAAAAAATGTTTATATTAATAAATTCTTCACCTAAACAGCAAGCTTACTTTTAAGATTACTTTCTTATAAAACTTCAAAATAACTAAGGATTTATGCATGACCATCAAAATATGGCTTTCCCCCTATTTAACTTGGAAATAGTTTATTATCATAAGCACTGCATTAATTTTTCAACAAATAATGTTTTTAGGTCTGAAATTCTATTTCTTTAAAGATCTTTTGACTACAACTTTTTCTCTTGTGCTCTGAAGTACACAGAATGCTCCTCTTTACCTGAAATTAAAGTAGCCATAAAGGTTAAAGAGTTGTTTTCTATTTTGAGTTATTAAAAAGGTAAGGTCAGGCCCTAGCTGGTTTGGCTCAGTGGATAGAGCGTCGGCCTGCGGACTGAAGGGTCCCAGGTTTGATTTCGGTGAATGGACATGCCTGGGTAGCAAGTTCGATCCCCAGTGGGGAGCGTTCAGGAGGTGGCCAATTAGTGATTCTCTCTCATCATTGATGTTTCTGTCTCTCTCGCCCTCTCCTTTTCTCTCTGAGGTCAATAAAAATATTTATTTAAAAAAAAGTTAAGGTTAGGAAAATAATTTTATAAATTATATTCAAGTAATTTTAATGTTGACTACCTTCTACATTCTAATGTTTTGAAATGGGCAAACCATGCTAACAAAAACATCTACTTAACCAGAATATGTCATTTCTCTACCTTCACGTTTTTTGTCTTTGGTGGCAACTTGGTACGACGGGAAAAAACATATTCTAGGAGTCAGGCAAATCTGGGCTTGAATCATGATTCCTCACTAATCAATAGTATGAGCAGCCCTAACCGGTTTGACTCAGTGGATAGAGCGTCAGCCTGCGGACTAAAGGGTCCCAGGTTTGATTCCGGTCAAGGGCATGTACCTTGGTTGTGGGCACATCCCCAGTAGGAGGTGTGCAAGAGGCAGCTGATCGATGCTTCTCTCTCATCGATGTTTCTAACTCTCTATCCCTCTCCCTTCCTCTCTGTAAAAAATCAATAAAATATATATATTAAAAAAATAAAATAAATGGCTTCATACACTTGCCACTGTAAATGTAAAAAAAAAAATAGTATGAGCAATAGATAAGTTATGTAACCACTTTTAGCTTTCATTTCATCCTTTGAAAAATTTAAGTGAAACAGTATTTACCTCAAAGGATTTCAAGTGAAGATTATTTCTAATGTGTATGAAATAGCAAGTATAGTAGCTGTGCTTCAAATGTGCCAATAAATAAATGTTAGTTTACCATTACTCCTAGGCACACATTGGATTGTTCAATTATTTATATACAGAAACAAAAACTACAAAAATATTTTTATGATAAAGTCTTGGTTACAAATCTGGTATGAAATTAGTGAGACCATGTGATTTAAAATCATCTCTATTTTAACATGGAGTTTGTTTCCTTCCTTCTAGAGTTCATGTATAGGCAGCTCTGCCTCTGTCTTTCTATAATACTTATGTTTATTATTTTTCTTTGATCTGAGTATCTGTTTCTACTTAGTTTAACTGTTTCATTTTTTGTTTGGGTCCTTGGTATACATGAAAATTATTTTATGAAAAAAAGCAGGATATAATTATACCTAAAATAAGTATTTCTAATCTAAAGTAAGAAAATTACTTTTCCATGATTCATTCATTTTATCCATCTACCAATTACTCAAGGAGCCCCTACTATGTGCCAGGCTCTGTTCCAGGTGCTGAGCAAATAATTCATAAGACAAAGCCCTTGACTTACAGGGTATCTATTCTAGTTGGTGAGAGCAGCAAACACATTTACAAATAATATAGAGAGATCTCATTTCTCACTTGGCAGGGAAATTTAGTATCACCCTTTCATTTTATAGATGAGAGACTGGAAGCCAAGATAAGTTAAGTAACTTGCCTAAAATAACACTATTGCAGCAAATTATGACCAAAACCAAGGTCTTCTGACCTAAGTGCTTTTCCCACCATATCACATCACCTGCTGTTTAAAATTTTGTTGAGCTTTCTAGGATAAATAAAACTCTACATGTGAAAGACTATGAAAGTCAGTATCCATAACATTAAGAGACTTAAAAGTATTAGTCAACTTAATCAGCTTCTGAAAAGTGTTACTGTATTTAATAATTCTCAAAATAATTTAAAGGGAAACTGATTATAAGTATCACATCAAACAGATTTTTTTCTTCCAATAAGAGTAAGACATAATTCTCAAAACCTTTGGAGATTACTAAAATTATGCTATAGCCCTAGCCGGTTTGGCTCAGTGGATAGAGCATCGGCCTGCAGACTCAAGGGTCCCAGGTTCGATTCCGGTCAAGGGCATGTACCTTGGTTGTGGGCACATCCCCAGTAGG